TTATCGAAGAAAGGAAGCTAGACAACAGACGAACGGAACACAGCCACTCATGTCGAATATAAATAATTTGGCATTATATCGCATATCTAAAGAATTATCACTTATCTTTGTACCTTTACGTAGGTACGGGGAAACGAAAATAATGATCAACAATCTTGAAATGATGCTTTGAACAACTCAGAAAATTTGTCTTTTACACGACACCAACAAATGTAAAGCACAAATAATGCGACGAACTAAGCAAAGAAGCAACACACGAAGCTGTACAAACTACACAGCAGGGACGAATCTGTACACACAGAGGCTGTACAAACTACACAGCAGGAAGGAGTCTGTACACACAGATGCTGTACTAATTACACTGCAGGGACGAGTTTGTACACGATTTAAAATACTTTATTCGCCTAACTTGATAGGTCTACGTAGATTTAAACGCGCATCATAAGCGTTTATGTCACTGTTTCAAATTCAATCGCGTGCAACAAGACTATCAGCTGGCGTTCACATTGATTTTTCGGTTATTATTATTTTGACTCGTAATATGTGCGCTTAATTGAAATAATTGTGCAATTATGGAAAGAGGAGAAACAAAAGGGATAAGAACACCGTCGTTGGAATTTAATTTGGTGGTTAAGAATTTGAGGGAGGAAACACAAATTGTTGTCAGGAAGTAACCATGAAAATGATAGTGCATGCCGGCCGACAGATGTTCAAAATTGAAGTAAAAACAACTATTATAACGATAAATACTGTAACAAATATCGGTAAAAAATGATTACGAATTTTGGCGACATTTACAGGCATGTAATTAATAAATAAACATATGACTTGTGAAAGTCTAAAACATTAATTTAATAATAATAGGCATCAATTCGTTTAACTCCTAAAGATTACTTTTCAAACCGCCACCTAACATATCGAGGGTTTGTTATAGATTTCGCTGACTTGTTCACAGTAGCGACTGTGTCGCAAATCTTAAGTCGCTACTGTGAACTTAAGAGTCTTAAGTCGCAAATCTTCTGTCATCGATTCGTTCTGTATCTTAGAATCCCCGGCAAATCACTAAGATGTTAGCTGAACAAATATCTTTAGGGAATGTAATTTACATTAAAATTTATTCACAACACAGTACATGAATAGTAGACAGTCTTCACAAACAAGATGATAAATGATAAAATATCGATAACAAGAGAGCTCATCACTGCACAGAATGAGGTGAACAACGACGATAACGAAGTTCGTTGGTGGCCGACGATATCCACGTTATCCACGTACGACGATAACGAAGTTCGTTGCTGGCACAGGACAAAAGTGAGACTATACCAAAGCAAGCGTTAGCAGGCAAGAGTAGCAATGGTAAGCTCGCATAACACATTTCCATTTTTCGTTTCATTACATAGGGGTAGAAACAACATGATTACAATGGTCTTTTAACGTACGTAGCTTCGTTCGAAGACGATGACAAAATTTACACTTGGCCCAGAATTCAAATGTGTTTTCATCAACGAGTGATATCTATGAAGAAGTTCAACAGAAATATGGGCGATATTACATACGAAATTCAAAAAATGTATAAGACTAAAAAACTTTCTTGGCACAGATGAGTTCAAGGATCCTTTTCATGCGTCAACGAGAATATAAACGGAGAAAAGAAACAACCCAACTTGCAGGATATTGGATTTGCACACGAAGTGGAAAAATGATGGAGCACGTAACAGCGAGTGGCTGTTTCTAGAGACAGAATCGTTGCGTTAGCGCCAACACTGTCGTAGGAAAATACTGTAAAAATCGTTGCATGATAAAGAATTAAGATAGCTCGTCTGAAGAGGCACGTCTTCTACAACTCGCAGCATTCCACACGTAGCTGGCCGCAAGAGGTATGCCCTTAGCAGCCAAGATTCACTGGTGCACCAAACTCATCGAAAATATTATGTACAACAAAAAAAAGGCAACTCGCATCACCAGCCTTCAAGAAACTGAAGTAATTGTCTTCGACTTGAGCGTTGTTCACTAGTGAAAACTTTCACAGGTATTCACTTCACAACCTACAGCAACCGCAGTCATATTTATAAACAAATAAAATTAAATGTCTCTAAATGATAAGATCACTAGAGCACCACATGGAGCGTGCGTTCACTCGAGCCAGATCACTCCATTCACTAAAGTCTTTTCAGAACCGAGACGAAGTTCTAACTAGCGAACGGACTCATAAACTTTTCTGTTGAAAACGCACACTTAAGTGACGCACTAGTGGTACTTATAACTTTTCCAAGTTTATTTCATGCGGTAATTTTGTCCACATACGCATGCACTTGCGTTAACGCGAAATATTCACTAAGAAATGATCACACAAAAAAGAGATACCATGTTCCGTGTGATAAACAAGGAAATAGTTCTCACAATTAAGTATTAAATGCTAAATATTTTCCAAAAAGAAATCACAGGTGCAAATGAGAGGTTTGGCAGCACAAGTGCAACACTAACAGTGTGTAAAACACTAAACATAGGGGCAAAATTCTTTCATAACTTTAACTAATAATAACTAAATTTTACCGCAAGTCGCTGATGCCTTGGGAGCGTACCCATCACCGCAATTTGAAGGCAATGGAAGCATCCAAGCTCCACAAGCTCACTTCGAAAATAACACAAAGCGGAACATCGTAAGAAACCAGGCAAAATATGAATAAAACAGTACTGAGAATTCGGCAAGGCGAGACTAAAGCAATAAAAATATTTCCTTTCTGATCGCAATTTCTTGGTACGAAGTCAAAATTCCTCTACTCTAGCGCTTACTTCGCAAGGCGAGCGATTGGGTGGCTGAATATAAGGGAATGCAATATGGCGATGGTTTGTTTGGCATATAAATGACCACAAAAGAACCTACAGGATTTTTATTCCAAACACTAACGTCAATAGTGAGCAAGGATAGTGAGGAGAAACACAGTTCGGGCACTGAGCTTAATTCAGAGCGTGAAAGATTTGCAGGTTGCGAGCTGCTTTTGAGGCATAAATCTTCTGAACGACAGCTATTAGAATGAGAAAATGCAGCTATAGGAATAAGTTCAACAACAGCGATTTAAGTTCACCAACTAATTACAACAGGTTGACTCCTTATTAAATATATTAATTTCAGCGTGACGGGAAAAGATGAGTTAGGAAGACGGTATAATTTAAAGCAACAGAGAGCCACGCCACGATAAAACAACACTCAATACCTCAGAAAAAGAGAGAGGATAGGATAAGAATCAGCACAACTCCAGCCACTCTTTCCATGACTAAATAGAAAAATTAAGTACCTATCAAAGCACAAGTAGATAATAGGCTTGAAATAAGTGATCTCATAAAAACATTCTTATCAGATTTAAGTATCGAATAAATGAGCTACTACTGACGTAACTTTGGCGCGTTCGGGAACTTAAGTACAACTTTTCACGAAGAATTTGCCAGAGGCCAAAAAGATCAAGAAGACGATATCGCAAAACTGCCCGCTCCCTTTACTCTCAGTTGTGCCACCAATCGAAGTGAGGTCTCAAGATTAATTGTAAAAAACAACATGGAAATTTCATCAGATTGATTTAATATCAAGTTTATAAATTAAAACATGCTACATATTATTTCATATTCAAGAATATTCCAAGTGACATGAATGACGAGTGTAATGCTATCCTGAACTAACCTACCGATCCGATGCGTATTGCTCAGACACTACTACGTCGTGTGTCAGATATGCCAACTAATTATTTAGTTAGCGGTGCTAAAGAGCAAAGTTTTTTGTCTTACAATGAAGAATGCCTCGGGCCCTCGGCCATATTAACGACCATGAGACCAAAACTAACCATTAAGTTGATGCGTGCAACATCACGACTCTATCGGTGCAAATGTCAGGCAAAGTTCACGAGCTGATACAAACTACGTTCACTTCGTAAATTACAATAAATAATAATACCAAGTATTGAAAAGCACCGCTATAAATCTGTTAAATTATAATCATCGATCGACTAAATACTCGACCAACACAATATCTCAGTGTCATCAGAGACACGAAGCTCTAACAAATGTAAGTTCATCACATTTCACAGAGAGACTTGTGCAGAACAGAAACAATAATAGCAATAAACATAGACATTGCAAGCGACACTAGCTAGGCTATGATCCCTTAACTCTGAGACGGCTCCTGATGCGGAGACAATAGCGTCCTGGCAGTGTTCTACTTACTTATATATAATGTACATCAACTAGGTTCAACAAGCGAATAAAATACCAGGGGCACTCCTCAACCTCAACAAATAAGGTAGACAAGAGTTATCAACAACATCAGAGCGATAAATTACGTGAGACTGAAAATAAATGATCGCTCGTACAGTGGTAGAGGGGACCAGATAAGCCCAGCGACTTTACACGCAAACGGAAAATTTTCCTAGACATTTTTTTTTCCATAAATTCCAAGACAAATTTTCCATAATTTTTTCCCTTGGTTTGAATTTCATTCATAACAACTGTATAAAAAATCTTCGCCTAAGGAGCTTCCGTTCTATAAAATATAGCGCCTGTAGAGTTGGCCATTTAGATGAACAAGAAATTCATGGACAGAATCAGGTTTAAATAACGTGCGCGGCACACGCCCGATGTGCGTTAAGAATACAAGCTTTGCTTCCGAGTTTTGGCACAAGAAAATACTTTTCCCTTCATAATGTTGTAAAGTGTCGGAGTGAGATAAATGTTCAGATTTTTTCCGTAGCGGCTCAAAAATTTGAAATAAATATTCTGAACATTCCACTTGTAGGCGATGGTTAAACGGATGAATATTAAACTCTTGATAAGGACCACGACTTGTGACAAGAGCTGGAAAAGGACACAACATAGCTAACAATTTGTCAAAAAATATGAGAAAAGCCCGGGCCTATACTTTCAAAAAAAAGTTAAGAGATCGTAAGTTCATCAGCCAATCATTGACGGCCTTTCAAGCATAATCCACCAATCATAGACGAAAAAATAGAACGTAAGTACTTAGTTCACTTACTTAGCGAGTTTTGAAAGTATGGCCCCTGTACAAAAAGTGCTCAGAAACGCAGAAAGGGAATGTGGAGAGAACTCAATAAGTCAAGTATAAAAAGAGGTTGATATGACCACGAGACCACACACCAGATGCTACGAGCTGCAGTTCTCCTGTAGTTCACAGTCACCAGGACCTGTATATTTAACGCTACTTTCAGCGCTGCTGACTTGATCAGGAATTGTTTCTTCCTCTTCTTATTAACAGTTCACGCAAAACAAGGTTTGGCTTTCTCGACGCATTTAATATCGCCTGCGTAGTCAGCGTGTAAGGCTTAAGATTTCACTTGCGTCGGTTTTTTTTTTATTCCTGATCGTGAATTTTCATCAATGGCGTTTCTGGGGACCTAAAACTGTGAAACTTCCAGGAGAATTTTAATCGCGATTGCCAGGCGGGAGAAGGAACTTTCTAGCGCTGTTCAGCATCTGGTCCCTGGTTTACACGCGCGTAGAACACGCGCGTACAACCCGCGCGTACAACCCGCGCGTACAACCCGCGCGTACAACACGCGCGTACAACACTCGCGTCACGGTGGATGTAGAGTCGTGAGATGTGCGTTAGGGGGGAGCGCCAGGTTATACAGGCGTGGTGGCTTTAATTTCCTGTAACCTTCTTAGGACTTCCTTGAACGTCGGCCGCTGATCGCTCTCCAGGAGCCAGGCCTGGTGCAGGTAAGGCGAAAAGTTTAGTGTGTCAACTTAACATGGTTATGCTACATATTATTTCACCTTCAAGAGTATTTCAAGTGACATGAATAACGAGTGTAATGCTATACTGAACTAAACGACAGATCTGAACAAACAGAACAACAAATTGCAAGATCAATCAATGAAGGAAGATGCAAGCGGCTTGTGTTGTATTACGTTGAAGCTATTGAGCAAGTCTCTTGAAATATGTTGGCCCAAACTAATAAACGTAAACTGGAACCAAGATCGAGCAGGGTATGCCAGAATACATCAGAGGTTTGGTAACTTTACATAGGTAATCCAGCAACACTTCAAGGTCCCGTACAGTCACCGCTTTCCCACTGGTACCAACATCTACCACTAATACTTTATATCAGCTGCCACCACTCCGTGTTGTCAGCATTTTATTTTAATTAATGAACTAATGATTATCACATTCGTTAGGTGTAATAATAGGTACACTACAGTTGCATTAAAAAGCGTCCTTCAATTGCATATCGCTTGCGGATTATTTTGTGTAAGGCAGTGAACATTATTGTGAAATAAAATTTGTTCCAAACAAGAATCATTCAGGACTCGCACCATACGTGATACGCGTACCACAGTTGGGAACCACTCGATAAAATGAAACGTGTGCAGGCATTCCTAACAACCTCAGTACCCGCAATACACATTACCTCCTTCATTATTTTGGAAACCTCCGTTTATTGTGAAATAAAATTCGTGCCAAACAAGAATCATTCAGGGCTCGCGCCATACGTGGTATGCGTACCACAGTTGGGAACCACAGGATAAATTGAAACATGTGCAAGCATTCCTAACATCAAGCTCAGTACCCGCAATATACATTACCTCCTTCATTATTTTAGAAACCTCCGTTGGGCAATTCTCTGGGGGATCCATGCGGTAGCCATTCTCAACGTACTTCGTGACGTCCGCCAATGGCTGTAGGAAAAAAATCCACATAGATACTTAAATTAAAACATCGTATTTAAAATAAGTCTCCAGATGCATCGCTGGGTGCTTGATATCTTTCATTTGTATGGCTCATCCAAGAAGTTATGAGATGTGCTCAGTATAAACTTGCAACGACGCTGGTCAACCCCAGCTACTTGATCCTCGTATAAACGGCAACACAAAAATGCTTAATGCGGAAACTTAAGTGAGATAACAACTTTTTAGCAGCTGAAATAGCCCAGTAATAACAACATTCAGTCACATGATTTTATGGGGCATTGCTAAAGAACTAAAATGATCTAAATTTTAACTCAAACACAAAGCCTTCATTGGTACCAAATGAAGCAAGATGAATATCTTAAAAACAATATTTTCATACAATAATTTGAAGATCTCTGAAATTTAATTGCTTCAGGTAATGATGGCTTATACGCTCTGTTTAAATTAGCATGAGGCGGAAAGATTCATCATCTGCAAGTCATTTAAAAGAATTTCACGGGCAGTGCCATACACTTACAACGTAAACACTTACAATTTTTGGATAAGGAACTCTGCCGAATGAGTAAATTTCCCAGAGCAGGATGCCGAACGACCACATGTCGCTCTTGTTAGAGAAAATCTGCAAGGAAGGTTCATGTGAATATTGTAACACAGTCAGATTTGCGAAGCAGGATAAGGAGTTAAAACATTAAAAATAACTTAACTTCAAGGAAATTTGAGGAATATATGATGAATGGGGTCATATCTACGAAATACAAACAACCGGAGCAGACATAAACCATATTCAAGATAAGCCAATAACATCCTTCATATGAGAAGCCGTGAGAATACGACAATAGCTTCAACTTGTGCCCAGCGCAACGAAACCTACTTAGGATGATGGACAACAAATGAGGAACATGAATGTTCAGATATGAATCACATTTTCTGAACAGGTTTTTGTTTTATTCTTATAATTAAAATGTTTTTGTAATAATTCTATTTTAAAAATTTCGTGGGAATGCAGCTGCGGGTAGACTACACCAGCTACAAAGCAGTCCAACTATTACAATCAAAGCTACATGACAACAACGTGAAATATCCCTATCATTAATATGGTTTAATCAAGATTTCTGCTTCTTTTATTTGTTCTAATCTAAACAAGAATTTGCAGATCCACATAAACATGACTTCCTCGCACTGCACAAATTAAAATTTTTATCAGGAGCAAATTGCAAGGCAAACGTCGACTGACACGTAAATGAAAACATAGCCACCGCAGGTAGATGAATTGCATGGGTAATTTAGTGCTGGCACAGCAGTAACACTGCAAGCCTGGCACAGCAGTAACTGCCAGCCTGGCACAGCAGTAACTGCAAGCCTGGCACAGCAGTAACTGCAAGCCTGGCACAGCAGTAACACTGCAAGCCTGGCACAGCAGTAACACTGCAAGCCTGGCACAGCAGTAACTGCCAGCCTGGCACAGCAGTAACTGCAAGCCTGGCACAGCAGTAACTGCCAGCCTGGCACAGCAGTAACTGCAAGCCTGGCACAGCAGTAGCAGCAGTAACTGCAGTAACTGCAAGCCTCACATTGCGACGCAGTGCCTCAGGAGCCGTCCACTTGATGGGGAACTTGACGCCGTCACGCGTGGCCGGGGCGGACTTTGCCAGCCCGAAGTCCGAGACTTTAGCGACGTCGTCGTGGCTGATGAGGACGTTACGGGCGGCCAGGTCTCTGTGCACCACGTTCTTGGACTCCAGGTACGCCATGCCCGCTGCCGTGTCACTGTCAGAAATTTATAATTTAGAAAAAATTTAAATGTATAAGGAATATTTATTATGGTCCCTAAAATACAACAAAACCCATTGAAAACTTCCGTGTCACTGTCCGAAATTGATACTTTAGCAAATATATAAACGTTTATGGAATATTTATTATGGTCCCTAAAATACAACAAAAGCTATTGAAAAGTTCGATGAGTTGATAGTGAGAGAAACATTGCCGACGCGCGTCTCATTCAAAGTCGACTAAATCGATGCAGTATTTTACACATCTTTTAGCAAAGCATTTTGATCTTAAAAAGAAAAATAAAATAAATTTTTTGGAATAAATCTCAGTGGCAGATCAAACGTACAAATCGATAGATAAATGACATTTATTGATTTGAGAATGTGATAGCATGTAAATGAAACAAATTCTGTGGACAGAATACAACTTAGGGACAGAGATTACACCTTAGTAGAGATCATTATCGCGTTAGGAGTAAAATCACAAAATTTAATTCATGTCAGTGCTTCAAGTTTTGGATACAATTTGAAACAACGCTAACAATACACTCAGATGGTATTAAATTAATGTGTAAGATTCAAACAACGGATATCTCAAAATACGAGATTGTAGAGAGTGCAAGACCTGATGAAAGATGTTGAGCTCACCAAGCAAACATGATTTGGTTCCTCTTGGTAACGTGGAGCCGCCCTCTGCTGCGCAGGTAGTCCACTAGGCTGCCTTTACTCATGTACTCGGTGACCAGCAGGATGCTGCCTTCCTCCTCCACCAGCCCTTGTAACTTCACCAGGTTCTCGTGTGTCAGTTTCCTGGCATACATTATTCATTAATTTAATTACTTAACACACTTAAAGTGACATATACTTGAGTAAAACTAAGTAACCAGTATATTTATTTCCTGGTACTTTACATATTATCTATTAATTGATAATTGTGATTTGTGACACTTGAAGTGACATATACTTAAGCAAAACAAAGTAACTAGTGTAGTTATTTCCTGGCACACATAATTCATTAATTTAGTTAATTGACACACTTAAAGCCGCATTTACTTGAGTAAAACAAAAGTAACTAGTGTATTTATTTCGTGGCACACTTAAGTGTATCACATAATTAATTGTGACACTTGACACAATCAAAGAATAGAAGAGGTTTCAATAAAGTTTTGTGAGGAAAATACAGTTGTGAACAGTGAGCAGCAAAATTAGGGAATTGAATGTTATTTGATAACGAAAAATTCACTATCGTGAATGTGTGTGAAAATAACTACATAAGAATCACAAAACAAAATACAATCATACCATAAGCGGGAACTACGAAAAGCACTGAAAAAATTTCCAAATTTCAAATGCACCAAGTTTTGCTACACGTTTCAAACGTCCGAACACAAGAAAGTGCCAATGTCAAACAACAAAGCGGAAGCAAGAAAAAAATCCATTTGAATAGCTCATCAGTTGATATAAGCGGATAATGAGATGTAACGCGCATGAATTTAAAATATTACGCAAAAACTGTATCAAAGTGATGTCGTTTGTGCAAAATAAGAGTGATTATCCAGGTTTAGCGGGAAGAAAGTTTGATTACTAACGACATGAGGGAAAAGCGGATAGTGAGATGTAACGCGCATGAATTTAAAATATTACGCAAAAACTGTATCAAAGTGATGGATCATATTCAAAATAACGATGATTATCCAGGTTCATCAGCAAGGACGATTGATTACTGACGACATGAGGGAAGCTTCCTCGCGTAGCTGCTCGGCGGCGTGGATGTTGTCTTTGATAAACGTCCGGTCGGAAGAAACTGCTAATGTCATGCAGCAAAGCGGAAGCAAGAAAAAATTGATTTGAACAGCTCATCAGTTGATATAAGCGGATAGTGAGATGTAACGCGCATGAATGCAACAAGATATTACGCAAAAAATTGTATCGAAGTGATGGATCATATTCAAAATAACGATGATTATCCAGGTTTAGCGGGAAGGAAGATTGATTACTAACGACATGAGAGAAGCTTCCTCGCGCAGCTGCTCGGCGGCGTGGATGTTGTCTTTGAGTCGCTTGACTGCCACCTTAACTCCGCGCCACTCCCCCAGCAGCACGTCACCGAACTCTCCCTTGCCGATACTGTCACCAATCTGTGAAAAATATAACTCAGTACTCACTGCAGTGAGCGACAGAGAGCGCATTTTCTCGTCGACGAAAACTTGAAGTCATGGACGGACAGACAGACAGACGGACGGTCATGGCGAGCACAATAGTGCATTTTTTCATAAATGAGAAAATGCGCTAAAAACGAATTCAAATTAAATTCGTCTCATCAAATGGTTTCTTCAATGGAAATTCAACAGGAAATTTGAGACATCGATCACAAAGTGACTTGGGTAGTAGTTTGTGAGTCCAGAAATTGTTTTGGAATAAACCGGGAGGAGATATGGTTTATAAAAATAAAAAACGCAAACAACAAAAAGAAAAATGAAAATTGTGTTCGATGTGTTCATGAATTCAGTAAGAAATCTTAATAATTCTTGTGACCTGCAACGGACGGCCATGAGTCACGGACGGACATGACTAGCACAATAGCGCCTTTTTTCCACAAATGAGAAAATACGCTAAAAAGGCCTTGCCTTCAATAATAAGAGTAACGAATAGCAGATGCTTAGTTATGAGGCCTTTAATAACAACAGTAACGAAATAACAGATGCAAGTAATAAAAAGGCCTCCAATAACAAGAGTAAGGAATAGCAGATGCATAGTCAAGAGTTTTATACTGCAAGCATTTTAAATTTGCACAACTGACCTTGAGCTCCTTCCTGTCTATCAAAGAAATGTCCCTGAACTTGGAGCCTTGCTGCTGCGTCGCCCTCGTCTGCCTGGGCAGAGCGCGCGTCAGCTGCGTGCACAGCCCGTCTGAGTCTTGCTCGTAGTGCTGCACGCGGGGGTGTTCGTTAGGTTACATGGCGTTATGTGGTATGTAACACAACGTTATGTTACACGTCGGTATGTGGTATGTTACATGTGTAAGACGACATTGTTTGGTATGTTACATGTCGGTATGTGGTATGTTACACGGCGTTATGTGGTATGTAACACAACGTTATGTTACACGTCGGTATGTGGTATGTTACACGTGTAACACGACATTGTGTGGTATGTTACACGTCAGTATGTGGTATGTTACACGTCGGTATGTGGCATGATACACGTGTTACACGACATTGTGTGGTATGTTACACGTCATGTGGTATGTTACACGGCGTTATGTGGTATGTTACACGTCGGTATGTGGTATGATACACGTGTAACACGATATTGTGCGGTATGTTACACGTCGTTATGTGCTATGTTACACGGCGTTATGTGTTGTGTTAAACGAGATACGTTCAACATCATGAAGTCATCATGAAGTTATAAATCATTTTGTATAATAAAGATTTTGAGATATTAAAAGTTTTTCAAATTCATCAGTCGGCAATAGAAGATTTTTTGTCAATTAAACAAGTTACGCAATAGGCGCTATGTGAGATCATTGAAGAAAACTTCCTCGTCTATTGTCAGTTGTCGGTCCTTGTAAATAACTCTGTAGTGCTCCACCTGCAACACATATGAGAGACTTGAACAAACCAATCAATTAGCAAAGATTACAAGCAACTCATTAGTTAAAATCACACTAACTAATTGAAAAAACAGGACAAATTTGCTGCAACATTCAAGAATTGACCAATAATTACACAAAAAAAGAAATTCAGTAATCATGGACACTTACGTAACCACCGAAGCCGAAAAAGGCACTCCAAACACTCAAAATGCAATTCAATAAGAAGTTGACATCTTATTCCACAGACTTGTTTGTCGATACTTTTTCATTTTTTAAAGGCCTCCCACACTCACCATTCCAACAAAAAAAGAATTGATTTTATTAATTAAAAACAGGGAATGGGTTCGTGTCAATGATCAGGGCCCCGACCTTAACGCCTTAGGTGGGCATTTATTTTTTCATTTTTTATGTATGAATTTTCTATGTTTATTTACTCGCAAGATGCTTATGATTGCATTAAAATAATCATGAACTTTTTGGGGTATGCCGAGCTCATGTGATGCCCGATCTAAGCCGCATTTATCGAGCCGCCAGGCCGATAGCGCTGTGGATTTGCACTTTATTCCAGGTAGTTTTTGCTGTGACACGCCACGAAAGAATGGGGCATCCAATCAGAAAATTTATGCGAAAAATTGAAGGTGTTAAAAGAAAAGAGCGATTTAGAAGGTGGGTATTTCGTCAGTATATTGATGATAATAGCAACCATCAAGACGATGAGCGTGCAATAGAGGTTTCATTCCCTAAAAACTATTTAAAATAACCACGAAAAACCCGGTATAATTATCTACTTAAGCAAAATATTCAGAAAATTACAAAGATTGTCATTTGTCTGAAGAAGAACAAACTCTCATCATTAGAAGTAGAAAGAAAACTGAACACGAGCCAAAAAGAGATGTAATCTGGACGAATTTCTCAGCCGCTCATTGCAAGACTGCGGGCAAGAACATCATGAAAGCTGGAACAATTGTGCAGCCTAAATCCTGCACCTTCACTAAAGTTAAAGGTTTAGTTGGATACAAGTTGCCAATATTGCTACGCTTTCTGGGGGGATAAATAAATTGATTTTTCTAGAATCTTAATTCAGAAAATGAACGTTTGAAGACAGTTTGTGTTCAGGAAAAGTACCTACATAACGAAGTTATGGAATTATTTTTTTAACATTTATTTATTATTATTATTATCATCGTGTTATTAACACTTGGTAAAGTTATAGCTGAGAAAAAAAAATTTACAACATTTCGAATTACCTACCATCCTGAATCAATAAACCTAAAAGTCAATCTGGTTTAAGCTGCTTTAATCATGACGATGAAGGTCTATATTAGATTCAAGTTTTAGTATATATTCAACTCAGGAAAGAATTCCACAATGCGATCAAATTTCAAAAATTTGAACGTGTATCTCATGAAATGATCAAATATGTCCTGAAATCAAGTAATCTAATTCCTAACATAGTTCGCCACACTCACCTTGCCCTGGTAGCAGCCACACAGTCCACGCAAATAACCTATACACCGACCACGTGCGTACGTCATTTACAGACGATACAAGAGCGCCCATGAGGATTACAGACTAGCTGGTCTTCAAGGGGCTGCTGGGTAACTTGTTACAAATATACGACAGGGTCCTTGTGAATAATATGCTATTACGATACCAAATTACAAGTACTGATACAAAGAGTAGATTCAGCTGTCGAGACTTGGCATCGAACAAAAGCCACGTTTGGTGACCATATAGCGGCAATAGTTGGTAAAGCAGACAATGAAATGGATGTATCTGGCGGACTCAGATTCTTCGAGATGGGTCTATTTCGGTGACATGAACAAGGCTGTTCCCCTTGGGCTTTTAGAGAGGATGGTGTTCATCCTTGTGATATTCACGAGACGCCTAGATGCGTTTTTGATCACTATCCTGAATCATCCGACTATGCCCCACTACCACCAGCAAGTAGCAAGCAACAGCATTTAGCATCAGTTTGCTCAAAGAAGATCAGATACTTGAAGTCACGTTGAGCGCTACCTCCGCTACCCAGTAGCAGGCAGGTTGGCCTGCCTATCGAACGCTCGAGGACGGTGGAAGACGAAGGCGGTGCATCAGAGCAGTCATAGACAACTTCGTCCTGAATTTGACATAATGACAGACTCACTTTGTCATTAAAAGAAGAAGAAAAGCAGAATACATAACACCAATAACCTGGGCAACTACTGCCACCTCTCCCCGGATGATGTGCCCCACCTCTTCAACTGCCCTAACAACCCAACGCCCTTCAGCACCATACACCTTTGGAGGGACCCAGCCGCGGTCGCGCGCTGGCTCCAGCCACGGCTGGGCCGTTAACGCCGGGATCGGGCGCAGGGCAACAACAACAACGACCATGACGACGACGACGACAACAGCAACAACAACACGGGGCAGCAACAACAACAACGCGGGGCAACAACAACAACAACGCGGGGCAACAACAACAACGCGGGGCAACAACAACAACGAAAACGACAACAACAACAACTCACCTTGCTGTTGAAGCAGACACACAAGGTATAGTCGCCAGGGAAGTTGGTGCTTTCCCTCACGAGAAAGAGACCGTCTTCTCTGGGCTGCAGGAGCTTCTCTGCTTCATCTCTCGTAATGCTGCCGCGGAACCATCTGCCAACACAGCTACGAATTACAATGCGATAGAACGGAATTCATGCTCCGAATTATAGTGATGTAGAGGAACTCTTTTCTTCAGAGTAGACTGTTCTTGAATTAATGACAGGAGGCAATTCAAAGATGTGAACTTTCACTCGATTATCAAGTGTAATTTTATTACATTTTTCACAATTCTATTACATGGAATTTACTTCACAAAATAGGTTGCGTTATGCCTCATTTTTTTCAAGTAGCGGAAATTACGCAGCCACGTTTAAAGGCTGTACCTGTAAATCAGACTTAAGCTAGGCCACGGAACTTAACGCAGCCACGTTTAAAGGCTGTCCCTGTAAATCAGACTTAAGTTAGGCCACGGAACTTAACGCAACCACGTTTAAAGGCTGTACCTGTAAATCAGACTTAAGTTAGGCCACGGAACTTCACACAGTCACGTTGCAAGGCTGCACCTGTAAATCAGACTTAAGTTAGGCCACGGAACTTAACGCAGCCACGTTTCAAGGCTGCACCTTCAAACCAAACTTAAATTGGGCTACGAAACTACACTTCACGGAGCCATGTTTAAAGGCTGCACATATAAACCAAACTTTAAGTTAGGCTACGTAACTTCATGCGGCCACGTTTTTCGGCAGTAGTGAAAATAAAAATTTTGGAGAGAAATGCGAAAGGAATTTGGACAGGCGATAAGTAAGGAGCTTCACTCTGACGTTTAATTCCCCCAGTTGAAGCAACAATCAACATGGATCAGGCAGGTTGAGTGGGTTGGTGCCAGCAGGCAGGTTGTGGGTCGAGGACCCGTGGTGTGGATGAGGAACAGCGCCGACGGAGGCGTTGAAGGACTCATGGGTGGACACGGGACGCCAGCCTGGCGGTCCCAGGGAAGAGTCTAGGCTTGTGTTGAGCACATCACGACTGCCACCTCCGCCGCCAGCGCTGCCACCACGGTGAGGCTGTACCTGTAAACCAGACTCAAGTTAGGCCACGGAACTTCACACAGCCACGCTTCAAGGCTGCACCTGTAAATAAAACTTAAGGCTACGGAACTTCACGCAGTCACGTTGCAAGGCTGTACCTGTAAACCAGACTTAAGTTAGGCCACGGAACTTCACATAGCCACGTTTTTCGGCAGTAGTGGAAATAGAAATTTTTGTGAGAAATGTGAAAGGAATTTGGACAGGCGATAAGTAAGGAGCTTCACTCTGAAGTTTAATTCCCCCAGTTGAAGCAACAATCAACATGGACGTGGGCGACACACGGATGGCAAATTGTTAAAAGTACCGTACATACATACATCATCACATTGACAGTCAAGTCCACTTTCACATTGACCTGCAAATCTCAGGAAAAATTCTATACTCGTAAATCGGTCTTCCAATTACTAAGACTTTTCCGCCAATTGTAGATTGAAATATATAGTTTTGTCCTTTTCATAAATTAAGATAATTGAACTCGCGAAAGTTTTCTGTGTATTGATTCACTAAAATCAACAATGATAATCCAGCACACACGCTTCATCACTATATTTGTTGAAAAACAGGAAAATAGAACTGTTTTACATGCATATATATTCAAGGCCAAGCGCTGTTATTTCTTCTCGCCACGAAGAAAACTTTTCGCCAGCTATGATTTGAATTGGATCAGAGAAAATGAATTAAAAATATCTTAAAATATAAGCATGAATTGCATGAATAAATATGTGCGGCTAAAGGAAGAAAGCGAGATTGCCACTGTTTCAAAAGTCTATTGGATTGAGTTAGTCGCGAGGTTGCGATGAACTGTGTTCCCAAATTGACATTACATAATTATCTAAAGTTTAATAGTACGTACAACCATGAAAAAGTATGGTAATAAATTAAACAGATTTTACGTGGCAAGTTCGTTACGTTTGACGCTCGACGCACTTCAACTCCCACAGGAGTTAATGCGTGAAATGCATTTGTTATACGATGTATTCACGCACTATATATATATATATATATATATATATATATACTGAGTGAAGCTTATGCATTTATTGAATTTCAGTAACTTTTTATTGAATTATTTCAGCGAGAAAGCGGGAGGCTGGCTGCATGATAGAGTGATGAGTATCATATCCTCATTGGTAGAAATTGTAACCTTCCCGGTGAATTAGATTATTACAACGTTTATTACTCAATGATTTCGTTATAACAACGTTTAATCGCCGTTATTTCATCGTGGATTGCCTGTATAGAAAGTAGTTAGTGCGTGGAGGATAAGTTAGTTAGTGTAGATAGGTTAGTTAGTGAGATGCCTGTATAGAAAGTAGTTAGTTAAGTTAGTACGCACTTGGTATTGGTAATGGTGCTGGTGGATGGTAGGGTGAGAACGTGGGTGAGGTAAGGTTGCAGAGCCGGTATTGTTCCAGCCACCAGAGGAGGTTGTGGTGTGGTGGTGATGGTGGTGGTGCAGTGGTGCAGGAGCGGCCAGTCGCTCCATGCCAATCCCCACACGGCACTCAGGACACCCCGCGCTCTAGGGGAGGACGGGGCACTAGGTTAGTTCAGCACTCATGGGGAGACACAATACAAGCACAATACAGCAACAATACAGCACACAACACAATACAGCGCGTGAGGAGACAACAATTACAGTCTCTTCAGTGAAGAGACTGTAAAGGAAGATCAAGCATTGGCTTGAATGCAGCGTTAGTATACAAGAAAAATAGCAAAATGTATTCAATATAGGATAGTTAGGAGGTGGTGGATGGGCATAGGACATTAAGGACTAAAGAAAAGCGTGTTTAACCAAAGGGCAATCAAGTTTGTACTCATATATATTAGGGATCCTAGGATCAGCTGATGCCACACAATTTACTCATGAAAAGTTTTGTATGAATTGTATTGTCCTATTCGTAATTTGCAACAACATAGCACTACTAGTCAGTTGCCAGGCTAGTTAAGCGATCGTCAAGGTAATGGGGCACTAAATTAACTCCAGATGAAGTGCTCAAAAAAGCAAATCGACGAATCTTCAGCCGTCCAATTTTCCCGCAACGCTATAAAAGTTGTTGAGAAAAATTGCAGCGAAACAATATTTTTAAATGCAGTTCTATTGCATAAAAAGGCATTCTTCGCTAAATTGAGAAAGATCTTCGTCCATATATGTGATGAGATGAGAAGCAGAAGCTCAAATCGCATCGAAGCCAGGACCTGAAATTGAACACCTGAGGAGAAGCCGAAGTTGTACAACAGCTTTCGACTGTTCGACTGACGATTACAAGAGACAAAATACTACTATTTATATCAATTATAAAACCGTTTTTTAGAGTTTGTATTGAATAAATGAGTGTTTTTAACGTTTAAGTCCACAAAAAATTTTGTGTTTACTTCTGAAAACCGTTCTGAGCATTAATATAAAGTATAGAAAGGTTTCCAGCGTCTCGCCNGTGAGCGCGGCAGTGAGCAGTGAGCACGGCAGTGAGCAGTGAGCACAGCAGTGAGCACGGCAGTGAGCAGTGAGCACGGCGCTGCAGTGAGCAGTGAGCACGGCAGGCGCAGCAGTGCAGCACGGCAGGCGCAGCAGTGCAGCACGGCAGGCGCTGCAGTGCTGCACGGTAGGCGCAGCGGCCGCCAGATCAGCGTAAGATGACAGCATTTGTACGCACACCAAACACACGCCTCAGTAACAATGTAAAAGATCTTTGTAAAGCCTAACTTGAAATTGACAGCCATAAAATCTAAGTGTGCGGTCACGGCACATATGGCGGGGAACCACATGCATCAGGATCAAGCCTGCGGGCAATTGCGATCTCTTGATCTACTTGCAGGTATCTCTGATTGGACACTAAGTCTTAAAAAAACATTACTAACGAATTATGTTTCTGAAGTAATTGGATAAATAACTCACTTTACTCGAATCCCTAATGAAAAATCAGTAGTTTCAAACATTAAAGCATTAGAAGTAGAGCTGAGTACAATGATTAATAGCCTTGCTTGTGCAATCATTGAGCTAGACAACGTCATGACTCGAGTACTAGGTTTAATTGCTGAAAAATATCCTCCGTAGTAATAATATAGATATTCAATGCCTACATAATTTTAAAACATCCCTGGAATTCAAGTACTTGTATATCATTAGTTCGCTCAAATCTTAAACTTGCCAAAAATTCAAAGGCAGAAAAAAATACAAGTAAATTCATGATATTAATTAATTTGACGTTCTTTGCTTTTAAATTCTCGTTCCCTGTAATTTTATACACATAAAGCCACGAATAACAACTAGAATAATTTACCCTGACAATATGAAAAGCAATGGAAAGAATACGACGTTGATGCGGCAAAAAAGCTAAAAGCAGAGGAGCGAAGGAGGGCTCAGTCCTTCAACACACGCATTCATCTCTACATTTTAGTCTTTCAACTAATGAAATATGTCATTAAGCTAATTTCAGATTGTCATGGACGATGGTCCAGAATTATGAGGATCACAATAACAACAATAATATAGCCCGGATAGTTTTCTCTTAAGAACGAAGTTTCAAGCACCACTTGTAAATACACGCGACGCGCATCATTACACACATTACCTGGAGAAAGTCATACTCTTAAACCTATACTCAAGTGTGCTGAAACTAAAATCAATCAGAGAGAAGAGAGTGACATGAAAAAGTCGAATATAAAAGCAACGCTTCTTGTTTCGCCATCCAGATTGAGCGCCCACGGACGCCGCTACATCATCGGAAGAATGCGCAGTGAAAGTTGCATGTCAACGCAGGGCAAGCAGAAATTAGAGGCTCACGTCATCGCAGACAGCGAGACGAGTGCTATATACAAGCAGGGTGAAGGAGGACGTTGGTGACAGCATACACACAACCTACATTATTGACTGCAGTTAAATGAGGAGGCGATGAGCTGTTCTGTCGTGCCTCGAGTGAAGTGTCTCGAAATGAGAGAATCTTAAACATATACAAGACTATTCCAAGCGTAATTTAAATATATTTAATACAAGAAATAAATGGTAAATATACGCAACGGGTCCCCATTTCATGATGCTTCACGACGCCCGTCACACGGCCTGCAGCACAGGCCCGTCACACGGCCTGCAGCACAGGCCCGTCACACGGCCTGCAGCACACGGCTGGACGTAGCAAGGAAGTCCAGCGTATGGTCCGTCATGCGAAGTGTTCCAGAGAACGACCGTCAGGCTCCCATTGCTCTACCTCCACCTTCCCCTCATTCCATCCCCCACAACAACGTAGGTCTAACGCAATACCAACGCATCCAGAACGTTGCCGGTTTCTCCTTTATCGCAGAAAAAATTCTGAATTCAACGTATGAGTTCAGGCTCTCTTGCACACCGGGAGTGAGATCCACGTTACAGTTACCGTAACTTCAGGTTGGCAAGATAGAGCGCTTACACGGTCAAATTATGGATGAAGTTTGATAGCAGGAAAAACAGTTTAGTTTGAGCCTTTTTACAATTTTTATATACATATACATTTCCCGTTTTCAGCGTTATCCTCAAAAAAGTTGGGTAACTAGAGTTACCCTCAGCAGATGGAAGACCCTTAGGCTGTAGTATTAGTATTAATAGTATTTTCGGGCGGGTATTTGAAATGTTTCCCATAGCACGGCTTTCACATCAGCTGTACGAATACTATGAATACCGGTTTCCTTATTGGCTAAAATAAATATGGAAAACTCAAGTTAGTAAACATGAATTTTCAGGATTAATCGCCCAGATTGAGCGCCTACGTAGTTAGTGAACTTGTATCTTACGAAACAATTTGAAAACAAAAAACGAAACAAAAAATGCGTCACATTTCAACGGGATTCTGGGTTTAGTAGGTAAAGATAATCTTTTCTAAACCGATTTGGAACACAGAAATACGAAATATAGAATTGATGAATTTTGGAAAGTAAGAAAGTAAACCTCAGAGTGAAAATTCACTGAAGGCTATTCGAGCGCTTAATTGCTATGGTGTAGGAGTATTACATGGAAATTTACTCTCGATGGTTAAACAAATTCTTTTGAATGCACATTAGTTCAATTTGAGATTTTTTTGTGCTGGCACGAAAGAGTATTTGATGAATGGTTTATTGTTATATTTTACTGACCCTATGTAATAATGAGATAGTGCACAGAACATGGCAATAATTTGCAATACGTAATTAGAGGACGATCATGATATAATGCAAAAATATAACTCAGTACTCACTGCAGTGAGTGACAGAGAGCTAGCGCATTGTCTCGTCGACGAAAACGTGAAGTCACGGACAGAAAGACAGACATTGCGAGCACAATAGCGCATTTTTTCCATAAATGAGAAAATGCGCTAAAAATGTAAGATTAGGTTGTTATTTCGTAAGTCGTGCTATTATGATATGATGTAGTGAGAGCGCCAGCGTGACGTTACGGACGACGGTGACGGCGACGCAAAAACATCGAGAGGAAGCGCGCTCCACGCCACCGCTGCCGCTCGCGACGCGCCGGTGGCCAGCGCTGCTGGACTCCAGCGACATGGAGGACATCAATAACCTTTAGCAAAATTGTTATCGTTACTTCTACCGCCTACATGAAGGCGACAAGGAGATGTGAGCCGCGTGGCAAACTGCTTAATAATAAAACTATGCTGTGTGTTTGGAGGCAAGCATTATGTTGATAAGCAATCGTTACACTAGACGGAGCATTCTGGGGCCGTACTTTCAAAACTCGCGTAGGTACATTTAGCGGTAATTTTCTCGTCTGTGATTAGTTGGTTTGGCTTGAAAATCAATGGCTGACAGAGTTACGAACTCGGAACTACGTTTGATAGTACGGCTCCTGTAACGTGGTTTGCATAAAGTTGAAGCCCGGACTCGCGTTGAGGGAAGGGGACTATGACAATGCTTGACTGCAGATTAATAATGACCTCTTCCTTCGTCGATACTGTAACGATAGAAAAAAATACAGCCGAATGTGAAGATATGATATGAATAGAAAGGAGCATTTTCTTATGCCGTACGCCACAACAGGGTAAACAATGCCCTCCGAAAAATTTTTTTGATCAAAAGCGGCGTGAATTGCTGTAAAATTCCGTCGAAACTGCGAACGCAAGCACACACGACACCGCACATGACGCAGCGCACAAAAATGTGCTGATGGTTGCGGTGAGAATCTTCATCATCGCAGGAATTTTGATGACAAGGTGACGTATCTTCGCTATGCTTCATGTTGAACAAACACAATGATGTACTGAACTGGATTCGTTTAGTTATTGCTGGCTTCATCTTGATTTATATTTAAATATTTGTTACTGTAATCAGGAAATATCGAATTAAGAACACTAATGATCTGATAAGGTAATTAATTACGCGAATAAGAATGAGAAACTAAACTCTAAGATATACATGTATAAGTAATTAATCTATTCGTTTGCATAAAATACCGTCGGGATTAAAATGGAGATAGTCAACAATATTTAAAAAAAATATAACTCAGTACTCACTGCAGTGAGTGACAGAGAGCGCATTTTCTCGTCGACGAAAACTTGAGGT